TTTGACAAATTTAGTATAGAAACTGATTTTAGAGTTCCATTTCTTCTTCTGTGTTAGCAGATGCCTCCAAACTACTGTAGAGAGGTATCCCTGTTTGTGGAGGTTCCAAGTACAGTTCAGTTCTCTGTGGGAAGGCAGTGCCAGCAGTTGCATGCTTAGTTTGGCTTTCTCCCATGAAGTTTTTAGCATTAGATGACGACTTTGGCTTATCAGAAAGGAGTTCAGGGAGAGGTTTCCAGAGCACAAGCTCCATAGAAGGACGGCTCCTAGGGGACAAAACACAGATTTTTATCAAGTAATTTAGGGCAGAAAAACAAAAACTCTAGAGCCAGGCATGGTGGTATATTTCTGTAATTCCAGCACTTAGGAGGCTGAGGCAGGACTGCTTTGAGTTCGAGGGCAGTGTGGGTTACATAAGGGAGCTCAAGGTCAGCCTGTACTACACAGTGAAACTCTGCCTCAAAAATAAGTAAGTACCCAGCTCTTGGGAGGCTGTAAACAGGCAGATCACTACGAGTCCAATCTAGTAGTGAGACCCTAAACACCCTGTAGACCCTTCCCTAAAATACAAAACAAATAAATAAATAAATAATTCTTTCCTTACTCCATGGTACTTAAAAGTTCCTGAAATCTAAAGGTAAGTAAAGCAAATATAAAACACAATAAAGAATACCCTCAAAGGCTAGAGTCTGGGGCCAGCCAAATAGCTCAGCATATTAAAGCATCTACAAGCAGGCACAGGGGCCAGGGGTTCTACCGGGCCTGCTGTGCTGGCCCCACCCTGGAGGCACACTGAGAGGGCAACTGAGACTGGGCATGGTGGTGCGTGCGTGTAATCCCAGCTCTTGGGAGACTGTAAACAGGTAGATCACTATGAGTTGACCTAGTAGTGAGACCTTGAACACGCTGTAGACCTTTCCCTAAAAATACTAAAGAAAGAAAGAAAGAAAGAAAGAAAGAAAAAAAAAAAAAAAAAAAAAAAAAAAAAAAAAAAAAAAAAAAACCCCAAGGCTAGAGTCTGGAAAACTACCAACAGCAGCAAGTGCTAAGTTTTAAAAGCTTGAGGGCACTGCGACCTGGTAAATTTGCCTCTGCTATTTACCCACCCTGAGGGCTGGGTAGTTAATTATAAACTCAAGCTAGAGCACTAACACAAAACTTCCATGATTCAACGCTAAGAAGCAGTCGAATGCTGGCACAAATCACTTCTACTGTACCTAAGGTAATGATGTCCCATCTCCTTGGCATCACTGGGCTGGTGTTCTAAGAGACTTTTTCAGATACCTGAAACTTTGACCCTCATTGAGTACCAAGCCTTTTCTAGGCAATACCTAAATGGCACCAAAGCACTTGCCTACTATTTTATGCAGCAGACAATGACAACTTGAGATCTAAGCTCATGGACTATAGGATTAGTTCTTATACTAACGGGCCCCAGGACACTTTGTTTTTTAGGTTCTTTGTATTTGTTT